TATTCTTTTTTAGAGAGAGACCAACATCCCTCAAGGTTCAAAAACGTCGAAAAACCTGACTATTGTTCTATCGCGTCCGATAGAATCGCCCATCACGGCGGTCCACGCTGCAATCATGCTGGGCCGAGATCTCTCTGTCTTCTATTTAAAACAATGTGCAGATTTTAGAAATGGTATCTGCTTACCTGTGTTTTGCAGAGTAGAGAGCCCCAAGACGCAACAGACCCAGTCTATCTATCTGAGCTCATCTTGCGTCTTCTTTCTGTATCAAATCACGTCAAGGGTCACCATCTGAAGGCAGTAATTCCCTTTAACTGACGTGTTCAGAATTTGATACAGAAATAAGGCCAAGAATGCAAGAGTTAAAAATAGAACATTTAATTCCCTTTACAATTAAATATCGATACAAAACCCTTGGAGCCATCAATTCACTAAAACTAACCCTATGCTAAAACTCTCCCTCCAGGCCTGAAAATGTGCAGAGAACATGCAGGCGCTCTGCCATGTTCTCTGTCTCTATCCCTGCTCTGACTGACTCCAAGCCTCCAGCCTAAGCATAGAAAAAGAGCAGATGTCCAGGAAGAAGGGGGCGTGTAGTATCAGGCAGCTTCCGGTCCAGGGTCCGGCCTTTCCTCCGTCTGCCAGACCTAAACAGAAATCATTCATGCACTACCCCTCCCTAATTCTATAGAAATATTACTTCCATGAGATAAGACAGGAGACTTTTCAAGGTCCACCTCCTTCTTCAAACAACGAAAGGATTAGCAGAATCCCCCCAGATTAACTATCATTAACTCATATTTCTGCACTTTTGGACTACCAAGGAACAAGGGGAGACCAGGTCTTTTTGCTTGGGAAAGAGACAAGAGTTCAATTCCGGGTCAATCAAATTCACATCTGCCTTTAGTCTATATTTAATACAACAAACACCTCGGACTGTTTCCGCCGAACTTCATTACCACCCGCGTGAATAACAATTCGACGGAAACGCTGCTTGTGGGTCATCATGAGCCTCAGATTCCCTTCAATATCACCAAGCCTGGCCCCAGGGAAGCACCGAACAGTGGCTCCTGGGATCTTAACACCTCTAACAATAGAGGAGCCAATTACCAGCGCATCAGCGACTCCATCGGCTCTCTCAGCAGCTCTCTCAGCGGCTCTATCAGTGGGGCCTTCTTCCCCGCGCGGCCGGACAGAGCGTCCCAGCGATTGTAAATGCTAACAGGAGGAGGCCCAATGGGGAAACTACCAACAACACGTCGCCCTCTCCGAACAGTCACAAAGCCATCACTATCCTGGTCTTGTCCCAGCTGCGGAGGACGGGCTGGGAGGCTAGGCTCGCTAGTTCTCCTCTGCCTTTCCCTAAAGCTGCGCTCCGCTGTCCCTGAGGATACGGCCTGGCTGTAGCTAATGCTAGCGCTAGCTCGAGACTCCAGTGCTCGGAGACGCAGCTCTAACTCACTGACCCTGGATTTCAGAGCTACGACTACACTACACTTCACACATCTATCACTACCCTCACATCAACCGCTTTTTATCACTTAAAGAGCGACTAAACACCTGTGCCCAGCCTTACTCCGCCCACATGAAGATTTGAAAATTTTCTCTAAAAAGGGCGTTGCCTGGAGGACCTAGGGACAAGAAGGGGGGCTTAGAGTTAGGCGTGGTCTGGGCTGTGATTGACAGCTCACTTGTCACACAAAAAAAAACAGACAGTTGTCATTGCTGCTTAAAGCAATAGTTTACAGACCAGAAAGTCTCATTCCACCCTTGTTTACACACTAAGATAATTGTAAAGCTACACACCTGAACCTAATCACACTCAATAATCTCAGAATTACTCATGTAATTTAATTTTAATCCACTAGATGGCGCCGGAATACTCCAAACTGCAGCTGGGGCGTGTGTGAGAGCTGAATGGGTTCACATCACTGGCTCTGACAGACTGACGTCACACAAAACAACTGATGTCATAGAGAACTTCAGAGTCAATGGAGAGGCCAGAACCAAATTCAAATGTAGTACCACCAAAAAGGTTGAGAGGGCACCACACAGCGTTTTTTAGCTCAAAAGTGATATTTTATCTAATTTGAACTAAAATGTCAAAAAAATGACCAGGATATGTAGACAGCACTACAATAAACATACTTATGCAGTTTATGAGTTAAAAAAAAGTTGATTTGGTGTTTAGTCGCTCTTTAAAGAACATTGCGGGAATCAAAAATATAGTGTCTAAAGCAGACTATACTTAGAGATCCTTATTGTCCCCGTGCATGTGACGTCCCGGCCACGCCTACTCTCCATGGCAGACGGCGAAAGTCTTAACTGCGAGCCTTCGGAAACTTTACCAAAACAACCTGTTTCACCGAATAACAGCCAAAACTGGGATATTTGTTAGTGCGGTTGGTTGTACTAACAGTCAAGGACACAAGCCAAATGTGTCTGATACCTGCTCGTCATGAAGACAGAGGACGACGATGGCGGCAATCAACCAACCATAGATTTATTTGGAGGACAATGCCACAACAAACGCTTGAAGTCAAACGTGTGCTCTTACTACTGTCCTGTATGTGCGCTGCAAGATTGAAATGTCCCCGCTGTGGCACGAATAAAATATTTCTTATCTTATCTTAGACGTCAGTTGCGTTTTTCACTGTTTTCCTCTCTGTCCATAGTATCATGTTTGGCTGTAGACAGAAAAGTGGACTATTGCTAATGCGCCAATGCTACCGGCATAATGTATATATAAATCTGCTCCAGTGTAAGGGGATGATTGTTAACGACATAATGATAAAGACCATGTGGGGTGAACTCGGGAAAAATTGGACATTTCATTTAATCGATAAAATTGACTGTGGGGAGAAGGTACGGGTCAAGATCCAGTTCAGCAATCCTTAACTTCTCCAAATACTGCTCTTTGTGAGCCCTTTGAGATGCCCTTCTTTCACCAAAAACGTAATCGGACATGTGCTTGAAGCAGCCACGTCTCGATTTAGGATAGGAAGCTCAGTTTTTAAGAGTTGTGTCCGTTTTGCTCTCGCAGCAATGCTAGTTTCCACTACTTCCGCCGTAAGCTCCTTCATAATCATGTGACTGGATAACGTTGATGCATCTGGTCAATACATGAATTTGTCTCCAGTAGGCTAGACTACTGTACTGTAAGGCCTTTTCACTGTTCTTTCCAAAGGAACAATAAAACAGCTGTAGTACATTCACTATGCTGCAGCTCGAGTCCTGACCGTAGACTGTAAATATTAACGGACGTAGACACGCCTATCTCCGTCGTTCTACAGTAAGTAATGAGCCAAAAATTGTGTTTTCATGGAGTGATTAAAAATGGCCGCAGGGGCTGGAAAATGTGAAAAAAAATGCATCTGCGCATGCGTCAGCTGCACGAGCCCCATTCATTTAAACTTAAAAGTGACTTAAAAAATTCACAGCGAGTAAACTAGAGTGGTCCAAAACACTCCCCTCAGCATTGACACACATGTGGAACGGAGCTTTGGGCCAAGAGCCAACTTTTGGACCATCCTGTAAAGACTTTTTCGAGTGGTAAGAAGATGCTATATGTTAGCATTGGCTAATTCTTATTCTGGTTCCACCCCCATCGGCCCTGGGTGGTATTGCAACATGTCAGCGCGCGTCATTTCGGCCACTTTTAAGCCGGGACCCGCCCCCACTGGTCCTGACCAAAACCAGGAAGTATGATCACGTTAGTCCAGTCCTCAGGTCTCTGCACTGGCTTCCTGTGGCTCAGAGAATAGACTTCAAAGCAGCTCTGCTGGTGTTTGTCTCTCCACGGCCTTGCACCAGGGTACATCTGCGACATGTTGGTCCCATATGAACTGACCCGGACTCTGAGGAGCACAGGGACTGGACTCCTGCAGGTGCCAGAGTCAGGACGAAACATGGGGAGGCAGCGGGTCAGATTTATGCAGCTAGGGTGTGGAACAGTCTTCCTGGGGTTGTGACATAGGCCTCTACCCTGACCATGTTCAAAACTAGGCTGAAAACATACAGTTTAGCTGTGCACACAACTGACTGATTCTATTTTGTTCTACTTATTGCTTTTATTGGCTTTTAAAAGAAATAACACTCTTTAATGTGTTTTAAACCCCATACTTTTATGCTGTTTTATCTTAATATTAAATAATTGTATATTTATTGACTTTTTAATGCATTTTGTTCTGTGTTTTTTTTTTGTGTACACGAATTGTGCTATACAACTAAATGATTGATTGATTGAAAAGCCAGATCCTGTCAGACCTCTGAAGCTAAGCAGGGCAGGGCCTGGTTAAAGCCTGTGATAATGCAGCAGTTTGAAAAAAAAACAGAATTATGGGCACTCAAAGACGCCTCACATGGCATTATTCTTTCACTCCATACACGGTGGGATAAACTACTACTGTACCCACAGCTGCCCTGGGGCAGACTGACACATGCTCCCTCTGCCTCCATCACTGAGCAGCTTTTTATGTCCCAACTGTCACTTGTATTTGTGTCGTATCATCTTAAAAAAAACATTCAATAATAAATATCTATTAAACTATATACGTATATTACATAAACACTGTGTTTCCGAACTCCTCCCACAATAATCACGGCCCACAGAGAATGGGCCGTGCCGCTGCAGCTTCCTCAGATTCGCCAAAAAGAATTTCCGAAGAATGCAGGAAAATCTGGAGAAAGAACTTCTGGTTGAAGAGAAAGAGCCAGAGACGAGGAGTTTGTCGAGGGGGTCGAGCTGTGGGAGTAACCCAGACCTGGAAAAAACTCCGGGTTATGCTTTGAAAACTCCAGAGGTTAGTTTTGAGCAGTTTCAACCTGAAATAGAGGAGTTGTTTCGAAAGTTAGATCTCCAGAAACAAGTCGAGAAAGACTAGCCCAGGCCTTGGATAGTGAGCAAACCACTATCTTTGTTCAGCAACTGACAGACATAATATTGTCACTTTCATATCCTAAAGGGACATTTTCGTGTTGTGTCACCGAACGCGGAGATAATGAGTGAGTTCCAGAACCAAGACCCCGAGCCGATATACACACGGAAAACAAGGGTAAGATGTAAGCTCAGGCCCTATGACCGGGGGCAGACATACGCCACGGTGCAGACCGAGGTATCAAACTACCTTCAAAGCCTCCAGGATTACATAGCGCAAGACCCATTGGAGAACTTCTACTGCCAGTATCTGTTTGAGTTGTGCATGGAGAAGCCGCCTCTGTCGCCCAACTCCCAGCAGGCCCTGACGTATAATGTGTCCATTCCTTCTCAAGAGTCGGTCCCTGTCCAAGTGGACTTTCAACAACTGTCAGGGCGGTCTTTCAACAGCCAGAAACATGACCTGTTCGAGAGGTCTATGGTGCACCCCAGAGCATGTGTGCCATCACGGATCTCTAGAGACGTTCCGGCGATCGTCTTACGCACACCAGAGGTCAGGACCAGGAGAATCTCAGGCGTCTCTGAGAATGCTTTTAGGAGTCAGAAGTACGACCTGTTCGAGATGTCCATGGTGCCTCCCAAAGTAGAGCTGCCTTCTTTCATCTCTAAGGACGTCCCGGCAGTTGTCCTGAAAACCCCAGAGGGCATGAAAAGAATCAGTGACGGAGACTTGTCCGAGGGCCAGTCCATGACTCTAGGCCTGATAGAGGCTTTGATGATTGAGATGTTCAGGGGAAAGGCAGCTTTGCGTCCGTGGGACCAAAAATACAAAGTGATCCGCAACCGTTTGACGGAAAAGGCCTGGGCGGAGATCCAGCTTTCTGGACACCAGGCAAAGAAAACGGAGAAGAGAATGAGTAAAATCATTGGCGCGATTGTGAAAGACCTCAAATTGCATTACGGCACGGCACAGAGAATGTTGGAAAGTGCTTTGGACGGAAAAGACCGGACATTTGAAAAGACGGTTCCTGCAATACCACCTCGAGCACAACCTGCGGAAGAAGAGGTCTTTTCTAAGATGCGTGTTCAGAGGTCTCTGTAAGCCCTTCCAATGCTGCTGCTACCCCACCGAAGAGTAAAGATCCACGCCCTCAGAATACCCCAATGCTAGCTACAGGACCCCCCAATGCTAGCGACTGAGGGGTTTGGACTGGGTTAGATTGATAAAGGGGGTAAAAGTGAGAAAAACTGTTCACTTTTACCATCATCTTTAGCAAGCAGCTAACCGACTAGCATTGCTCCAACCCTCGTGTTTGGATTTGTCTTGAATTTGAACGAGAGATGATTGCAAGTCTAAACTAAGACTTTAGTTTGAATCCCTCATGATCAGATTATTGTACAATCTGAAAGAGAGGGCGATAACACAAACTAGAAGCTCTGGGCACATGTGTAAGTTATGAACATGTGTCTGAATTGGACTTTTAGCTCTGTTAGTGAGTTAGCATGTAGCTAGCTAATAGACAGTGAGAGAGAATTATCGGAGGGAACCGGAAACAAAACACACTGCATTAAAAATCAAATTAAAATAATAAATATTAACAAATGCAATTGTTTTCTCATTGGCTTAAAATTGTCTGTAACGCTTCTTTGATTTAGTTTTCTTGATTTAAATATGAACCTTTTATAGTTTTACAACGACTGAAATCAGGTCCTGAAGTAGAAGGTCATCCACAAGAAACACTGAGGACCATGAACCACAGAAACAGAGTCTATGGTAATCGGGGAATATACATGAATAAATAAATACACTTCAAGATTAAACTGTTTAATGATACAACATGTAAACAATGGATATTGACTATTTACCGTTGAGGGAGAGGACATAGCGATTGCAACAAATGTAATGGAAAATGTTATGTATGATAGGTATTGCTCTACTAGTATTTGTTTAATTCATTATCTTGTTTTAGCTCAATATTAAGATTCCAAATATTCATTCAATGTAAATATGCATATTTACATTTATACATTTATGCATGCATCTTGAACAATGAATAATTGCGGTGGTTTGTATCTTCAGTCAAACGTGGCTGCCGTAAACAATAGTTGCCGTGTTACAGTTGAATTCTTAACATTTCCATAAAGCCAGAGCTGTTAGAGAGCTGATAATAGACCTAGATGGAGCTGAGGTTGAATATCACAGCCTGATTAGGAACAATGCGTCTGAAACATAATTGTGTCTTATCATTCGCTCATCTCACACTAATTATAACTTATAATTAACGAGCCGTGATTGGGAGATTATTATGAATTGCACATTTGATGGGAAATGGGAGTCGATGGTGACGTTTACTGTTATAAAATGAGTTATAAAATATGAAATGGACCATGTGTCAAGTCCAGCAAGTTTTTATCACTTTAAAATACAACAAAATAAAAACACAATCAACACTGCTCACCGTATGCGTTTATCTTGTTTTTTCCTAAATGTTCCATGGAATTCCAAAAATACTGTACTATCCAAAATCCCAAGAAGGACAAACTTTAAATATGTTCCAAAAGAAATACCTTGAGATGTAGCTTGTGTGATTTCAATCTGGTAGGCTACTTGCTGCAGTCCATCAAAGCCTTTACCCTCGGGCAATCACACAGCACTGGCAACCTACGCCAATTCAGCATCTGTTTAAAAGAGGAAACTTCACAACATCTTAATCTTTCCCAAGCCTCGCAAGGAGTTGTTTTTGAGTCACTTTTGTCTACTTATCCTTCACAACCACCACCTGCCCGCTTCCTCCCCGACCTTCTAGCCATGCTCTCATTTCAACTTCACCCTCATGCCACCACCAGTACCTGGACCTCATGGCACCACCAGTACCTATGTCCCGGGGAATTAGCGGCACAAAGGAATGATCTTCAGACAAAGTGCTGCAGTCGGGGCCGAGGGTGCCTTTGTGTCTGTGTAGACTCCAGTTTGAATTGTCTTTATCTCTATCCAAGCTAATATCAGAAACGTCTGTCTAAATGCTCCTTTTTGAAACTCATAACACTGAATCACAATCTTTAAAGTACATCATGGACAGAGGTGTTTTCTGCACTTAAACAAAAGAACAAAACACTTTTTGAACAAAAATCTCTGGTCTTTCGTTTCACCAGAATGATTGACATTTGGGAGGACTATTAGTCTTGATCAGAATACCTCCATAATGTATAAAACAAATTTAATTTATCATTTTGCTCCAGACCAGCCCCTTTTATTTCTTGCTTGGCCATTAAGCCCTGTGAGTAACCAATCGACACTTAGTGAAGGTGGTCCTCTCTCTTTCGCTTTTCTGTCTGAAAAATTAATCTGAAGATTATGCAAAGAGTAGAAAAGACACGCACTTGAAAACTAGAATTACAACCAAAGTGTTTTCAGAGAGAGTTATTTGGTTTACATTAAAAGTTCGGTACCCCAGCTACAATTTCATCCCTACCATCACTATTATCAAATAAAAACATGCTTCTCAGTTCCTGCCTTACTGCCTAAGGTATGGTGTCCTGAAGACCATCTCTTCACGTCTGGGATAAAATACAGTTCCAATGAGTTGTGTACAAACCTTCAGCAAACACAATTATCTTTTATGAGATGAATAAACATGTGGAGGATGCGTGAGCGCTTCAGTCGGCACAATAACCTCACTTTGAGCCGTTTGTCATTGAAATCTGTCCACACCGTCTGCTGCTTCTTAATGAGATGCTGATTAGAGATACCCAAAGTCACTCACCACTGATTTTAGTACAAAAAAAATGACTAATTTTGCTCTAATGCCACTTGTTAACATAATTACTCTCTAATTGCCTTATCAAGGTGTCATAAAAGAGTCAGACATAAAGATGGCACCCAATTTTGTACTTATTTTTATTTTAGATTGTTTTCTGTTAAGGGAGATGGACCATGAATACAACTTTAATATTTATTCAATGAGTTTCTGCCCTGGACGTGTGTGTTTGTGTGTTTTTTAGGTCTTTTTAATTTACCGTACTGCACAATTGTCTATATGAAGATATAAAGCGGCTACATTTACAAAGAAAGAGCATTTATAGGCTGCACTTGAGAATAACCAACAGGTGATGTAGTGAACTTCGGGGACAGAAATGTTACCTGTAGGACTCGTCATGTTGGAAGCTTTGTGAATGGAATAATTAATGGGACAAACGACTATGTAATGGCTAATGAAGGGCTGTTGCTGATTATTACTACTAAAGATCAATTTTATTTAATATTATTTTGGTTTTGCTGCTACAGGACAACTGCATTTCTGAATAGAGTATCTATCTACTATCTATCTAATGGTCGTGATATAACTATAATCAACTGCTAACTATGTACAATGTAATTAAAATATTCAATAACTGCAGGAAAAGTAGGTGTTTTGGACATAACACTTTGGTCCGCTTGTTGTTACATCCAAAACGGCTGTCTGAGAGCGTTATTAATAGTACGGGCGTGAACAAATCCGTGTTTAAGTAGTGCCCCCTTCACTGGACAAACAAGCAGGAATTAAAAAAGAGTGTGCTGTGCACATTCCACAGTAGCCAGCGCAGACATTTTGGGCCTTTTTGTTGCTGTTGATCAATTAGTAAAAAAGCTGTCCAGTTTAGTGCGGAGTGAGCCTAATACTAACCTGTCTCACAACGGTCTAAACCCAGCCCACGTTCTCTATTAGTGGATTAGTGAACAATCCAAAGCTTAGTAAATTCTGCTTCACAATGATAGATGAACAAACTAACTATGCTGGACCACAGCTGTCGCCCCCTGCAGGACACACTGTCTGCTCTGAAGAGCATAGCTTCAGTGACAGACTGATGCACACCCTCACTGTGTGAAGGAGAGGTTCTGGAGGCTTTTCCTTCCTCTTGCTGTCAGACTGTGCAATGAGTACTGCTGAGCCTGTACATGTCATTCATCTGTAAATAAGCAAATACTGTAAATTATGTGCAATGTGCAATTTCAGAACTGAACGTCACTTTATCCTGCCTTGTGTGTATATAACTTTACATTAAATGTAAATGTTATGTATGGAAAAGTAAATGTTAGGAGCGACAGTAGCTCAGTTGGTAGAGCATCGGCCTTTGGGCATGAAGGTTGTAGGTTCAAATGCACCACAAGACCTACTTCACGTCTCCCACTGATGACTGCTTTAATTGTGTCCTTGGGTCTTCTTGGTTCCTGTGTTTCGTTTGGATGTTCAAGTTCTTTCGTTTTGGCAATCCTGCATTTTGGGTCCTTCCTTCATTTCACCACTTTACAGTTTACTAATTCAGTAATCAGTAGCTGTAAAGATTAAACTGGCTTCAGGCTTCATGAGTAACAAAAATAACTGGAGGCCAACACTTGGATGGAGTCCATAAACTCTGCTCTGACCACAGCTCTAATCACACACTTGATCTCCTTGTATTCGCTCTCTGCTGTTCACATACACATAATCTGCTGTATGCAGATCTGTGTATGTGTCCTGTATCTACACAACAGAAATATAGACATTAGTTGTTGCAGAGTTTAAAAAACTTGAACCTATAGCGGCTTATAATACAGTATGTTCTCAGAAAAAAAGGAAAACAATTATGGCAAAAAATTAAGGTCAATGAAATACATTGCTCAGTATGATATATAGCACTTTTGGAATAGTCAGCAGAAACGTGGTCACACCAAAGTAAACGGAGGCTCCGCTCAGACTGCAGATGAAGTTAGTAATCAGCTGCTATTGTTTTCTCAGTGCAAAAGCAACAGTAAAACACATCATATCACATAACTAGAAGCAAAAAACTTTGAACATAGGTATTACTATTTTTATAATAATGCTGAGAGCTGATTGGCTTAGAAAGAGAGTGCAATACTGCTGTGGTAGCTAGGAACAAGATGGCACTGTAATCAGATGGGGGTTTGAATTATGGCGGAAAAAGGGAATGATGGAGTAGTGGGCCTATTTGGTACAGTTATGGCAGAGTGTTATTGGAATGTATCAATCAATCAATCAATCTTTATTTATAGGGCGCTTTTCCTGCACAGGGCAACACAAAGCGCCTCACAGTCCACACCACACAATGCACAAATCATCACCA